TTTTTTTTTTTTTTTTTTTTTTTAGTGCCTGGACACTGGGGCCAGGCAGGGCAGCCTTGGGGGGGGCGCTGGGGTAGCGGGGCCCACTCACTACCGCCACCACCTGTTCAATTCAGAGGAGATATGGCCCAATTTGGCGGCCAAATCTCCAAATCCAAAAATCAGCGCCAAATTGAATTGGGACAGTGATTCATATCACCAAATCGAATCACTGTCCCTGCGAATTGGCCAAATCCAAAGCCAAATCGAATACTGCTGCTTTGCACAGGCCTAGTTTCCTATCCTTTCCATTTTCATTCTAGTGGAGGTAAAAAAAAGAGTAAGTTACTAAAAAAGCTACAGACCATTTAACAAATACTTCTCTTTGCCCATGGGCCTGGCATGCCTGTGGCAAGTTAGCAAAAGATAGGGAGAATGGAAATAAAGTTATGGACTCTCTCTTTTCCGACTGGGAAGTAGCGAGTTTCCCTGAAGATGCATCACCTTTCCATTGCCCTGCTGCCCTAAAGACCACTCAACGTGGTGGCATTTATTAACCTCTCATTGGATAACAACCTCAGATAAACAAAAAAGAGACTCTCTTTTGTGAAGACAGATTATTAAATAACTGAGCAGTAGGGCTAAATTACAGTTCAGACCATGACTACAATACATCCAATGATTCACACCTATTGCTATTTGCAATAAAATGTTACCATACTCACGGGTCATTTGACTTGGGTATCAAAGTGCCTAGTTCTTTAATGCGGTCATTAATATTAAATCTTCTTCTTCTTTCAACTTTAGGAAAACAAACAAATATTAGTCAGCAATATGAATGCTTTCTGCTTGTAGTGCACAGCCCCTTCTACTGATGAATTATAACAACACTCTAAAACCACCACTTCCGCTATTAAACATTCCTACGATAGACGGTAAATAACATACATCTGCTTTTCGCACAGATAAGTGAGACAGAGACTCATCCAGAGGAGTGTCCAGTTTGTCACATCCTTTCGTTTTCTACAACCAACTTAGAGGGCCAGTCTCATGCTCCAGTTATGCTGTCATGCTCTGAAATCTTGCTCCAGATAGCATTATATTTCATCTAGAGTTGCTACTGAAACCACCAGGAAAGTCTGGTTCGTAAGTAAAGGGATGAGATAGTTTTGTCTTTTTAGAAAGACCCAAGAGCGGTCCTTTAGAATTTGCGTTAGTAAATGCATCGTTACTTTAAGTGAAGAGATTGATGAGCCCATCTGTTAAAAGTTAAGTTTAAACCACAAGGTTATTTTTTTGTAAAACCAAGTATGGCATTTACTGTTAAGAGTCCACTAGCCCAATTCTAATTTTCAGTTATAGTACTTGAAATTGCAGCTCCTTGGAATTTGGCACATGATCTAACAAGCTTGAAATACTTTAAAAATCAATTAATAAACTTTTCCTAATTCTGATAGAAGGTTGAATTCCAAGTTGGTTTAAGCCATCAGTACAACAGAATTCAGGGGAGCTTGTATGGGGACATACTATCATTAAGTATTATTGAAAAATGTACTATTAAGGCTTCACAAGGCCCAACTTCCCAAATACCTTTAAAAATAAAAATATTATTAAATTCAATTCTTAACTAGCCATGTACCCTCATAATCACTGGCCTACTAATTAAAATGCTGAGGGAATGATTGTTAGCTGAGCAGAATCAACTTACTTAAATTGTGATTGTCCTTCTTTTGCCTCTCTTTAGCCAATGCCCTTGCTTCTGACTCTGTAGGAAAAATACATGCTGCGCATGTGAATGAAGTAATTAGAATGAAGAAAGTGTAGGAAACACAAAATTTCAGTTTCATAAAACAGCAGGAACATGACAAATAGCTGAAAAGTACCTATCCTGTACACCGGGGATCCCAAACTGTGGTACGCCTACCCCTGGGAGTATGCGGGAAAAATTGTATAATGGCAGATTTACTTTTGATTATAATCATTGGAATTTAAGGGGTTAAAATATAAAACTTATGCTGGTAGGGGTACATGGACAGCTGGTAAAGCTTCAGAAAAAGTTTGGGAACTTCTGCTATATACTGCAGACAAAGCATTCTCTAATAATGCAAGCTATATTAATGAAATCCAGAGTCAGTCCAAATTGAAACCACTAAACTCATTCTGCTGGTAGGAAAGAAGGGAATAGTTCTTACTGAGGCTCTGCTGTGGCACACGAGAGGGTCACAGAAATGAGACCTTCACATGTTGAAGTTCTGCCACGCGTTTAGATACCTTACTGAAATGCACCATAAGGCACTACAGTCAGCAGAATTATCTAGGCAGGACAGAAAACAATTCACTTCTTCCAAAAAGTTTAAGCTGCAATGGGTAAAATTCACAGACTCCAGTGGACCTACAGCAGGGGAAGAAGTTAACCCAGAAGCTCTGTGGTGGAGTCTGCAGAACTACCAGTTAGGAGACACTTAATGGGACCTGGAAGGGTAAAATTTCCTGGAGTGATCTGCACAGCTCATCCACATCATGCAAAACAATGGTAAGGGTTTAAAATCCCCCAAGGCAATTTGTCACAGATATCTGGGCAACTTGCTTCCACCCCTTCCCCATCCCGAATCTGCATTTCAGGCTTCTGTGGCAATAAAAGTAAAATGTACTGTGTTGCCTGGGCACATCATGGAAACACTGTGCAGGGCAAGTAGGAGGCAGCTGTACCACTGGAAATAACCTTTCCCTGAGCATGGGAATGCAACTGGGACAGATGCAAATGTTTGCATCTAGCAAAAAATAAAAATAAAAATCTGCAATTGGGGAGAAATAATACAACTCAATGCAGAAAGAAAACAAAGGATACGGGTGTTGCTGCCACAGTGCAAGGCTTCTTTTAAAAAATTGCTTGCATTATACAGGGCTTGCTGACCCAAGCCTGCCCACACAAACAGCCATAGCCCTTGCCAATAAGAGGCAATTTCATACTTCCAAGTCCTCACATTGCACAACACTGCCAGTTTTCTTAACAATGACAAATCTCGTCCACTACAAGAGCCACAAACTGGGCACTCCCCCCTTGCAACTTCTCTGGAGCACCATTAAGACAGCTCAAGTCACTATTATGCCTATTGTGAGAACAATGTCTAGTAGGTCTAACCCATAAAGGAGCTATGCAAGGAGTCCTTCAAGGTGCACACTTTCATCACACAGGTTTGACTGTGAGACAGATTTCATCCATAAATTTTCTTGACAACTCTCCATAAATTTACAGACAGTCCATTAAAATAGGGAGGAGGAAGGGGTGGGCACCAGAGCTAGAAACGCCCGTCTATAAACACAAAACAAAACAGAACTATTCTTTAAAATAACCAAGAAGCCTGAGCTTCTCGGTAGAAGACCCTGACAGGATGGGGAGAGTGGGGCTGGCAGGGGTAAGGCTGGGAAAAGCAGCACAGGTGCAGGGCGCAGTTGGGAATGAACAAGAGACATTAAGAACCATCAGTTACATTCATGCTAAAATAAGGAATAGTTGAATGAACCATGAATGAGCAGGAGGAAGTTTGTTAGTATGTGTGAAACAAACCAGAATCAACAAAGAAACGACAC